TAGGTAATGCGTGTATTACTTCGCAGCGTGATGTGACGCAGTTTTGGTCCTGCGAAACGCAGTGTATTTGCCACAGTGGCAGTTTTTCTCGTAGAGTCACAGTGCGTGTTCTGAATGTTTCGAAAATTAATTGAGGCCGTGCGGATTCGACAAGTTTTGCGAACAAAACTAAAAACTGAAAAGCAGCAGTTGCCATTTTATCTGCACTATGGGTCTACCTGCAAAGTGAAAACTGTCATTGTATTTGCGCGGTTACTCTTGTCAAGCGCCGATACCCTTGTGACGTCAATACATATGCGCGTTTATCTTTTGTGTAGCCTTTTTATACTCCGACTCATTCGCTACATGTGATTTTTTTTATGTTTTAATAAAGTTGGGAAAATTAGGAATGTCACCCCCCCCAAACCAGAGGCCTTCGCTACGTCCTTGGGTGATAGAAATATGAGTTTTTTATCCAAGAGCTCTGGATTGTGCTCAGCCCATCGCAATCCGTGATGCCACGGAATTGTGTGTGATATTCTCAAAATTATTACGCATATCGAAACAGAATGGTGTAATCCATTAAATCTATCTGATAGTCCTCATTTTGTAATAAATATATATCTATGCACAGGGAGCAAAGCTTCAGGGACCGAATTCTCGTCCAAGGAAGTAGAACGAGCGTTTTGTCCTTGTCGACGTAATCGAAAAGTAAATGAAAATGATAAAGACGAAAAATTTGTTCTCTCGGGAAGCTCTATTTCCCGAGAATCGGCCCAAACAAGAATAGATGAAGTTCGGGAAAATCTTTCAAACTTCGAGATTGCTAAAGGCGAATCCTAGCGAGAACGTTCTCATTACTGGTTGTTGCCAAAGTTTCTTGGAGCCCGTAAAAAAAGGAGAAGTTACTACGTTTGCGTACTCCATAACTAGAAAATGTATGTTTTCTAAGAAATATTTAGGAACGGAAATTATGTTCAAAAGGATAATAGCGGCAACTAGATTCCCAGTCTGTAAATTTGAGCGACTTATTGTCTTATGAATTATTATTATTGACTTTGGTTCCGCTGTGCTTATTTCCCGAAGATGACAGTATGCGAAAAACAGCTACCTAAGTCTTAAGTCTAAGATTTAGCATCAAAGTTTGAACCATATTCAATAGTTGGTTATTGGTTCTCCTCAAATTGATGTGAACTCACTTAATATAGACGGCATGGTAGTAGGTACTTATCCAAAGACTTAATGATAAAGCATTCTCAACTTTGAATGAACTGCCACCTATTTGAAGCAAGTTCTTTCACTTGGTCGAAGTTATGAAGCACTGAGGATAACGGTGAGTTCTGATATAGATATATAATGGATCGGTCAAGTCTCTGGAAAGACGCAGAAGAGGTACAGATGCGTATGCGTATAAAGGGTGATTCAATATGGATTTCCACATAAAAATATTTAGAAAAACAAAAAACGGGGTTTAGTTATGTCTGAAAGATGACATCATGTAAATGGCCACCGCAGGTGATTTGACTTGACATAATCCGTTTGTCGAAATGTTCGACGACTCTGCGGCACAAATCAGGTTCTATGCGGGCTATTTCGCGTGTAGTTTTCTGTTTTAGCTCTGCAATAGTGTTTGGTTTATTCTTGTAGACTCTGCTCTCTGGATATCCTTAAAGATAAAAATCTGCGGGAGTTAAATCACATGATCGCGGCGGCCAATTGGTATCGCCGTTACGTGAAATAATGCGGCTTTGAAACTTTTCACGCAGTAATTCTATTGTTTCTCCTGCAGAGTCGCAGGTGGCACCGTCTTGTTGAAACCAGAGATATTCGATGTCCACATTGTGCAAATGCTTCCACAAAAAGTCCGTTATCATGTTCCGCTAGCACACGTCAATAAGCGTAACAGTCATGTGCTTGGATTTTCGGTCACACTTTTCCTGACAATGGCAATGCAATATTTTATGCCAAACGACCCTCTACGAGCATGCTGATTTCCTCTCTACAGGTCGATTTTGCCCACCAAAAATTCACGTAGAGCACGTAAAGTATTTTTTCCGCAAACGTCAAAAAATGACGACTTTTTTAACCTCAATTCTTAATGTTGAAGCACAGCATGCAAAAGTTTGACATGAGTTTGACTTCACAGGCGTTATTTTTTTGATTACCTTTTTGTCCGCGCGTTCCGTGAGCGTACAAAATAGTTATTTATGCAACAAGTGTGTAAAGTGAACCTTTTTTCACGAGTGCGACAATCACATGAGTGAAAAAAGGTGCTTTACGCACGTATTGCATACAATTTTTTTTCTACTACCAATCAAATAGGTATGTGTAAAAAAATAAATACTTTACGCACTAGTGCGTGAAGAATTTACACTTCACGCATTAGTGCGTGAAGTAATTTACCAGAAAAATGCCAAGTTGACAGTGTTGACATCTGTCATTGACATTACTTTACGCACTGGTGTGTGAAGTGAATTACTTTATGCGCACTAGTGCGTGAAGTGAAATTTTACATCTTCTGAATAGTGCGTAAAGTGAGTACTTTACGCACGGTAGTAGAAAAAAGTACTTATTTGTACGTTCAAGGCCGGACAAAAAAGTGACGTCACAGAAATTTTCTAGATTCCATCGCTTTGAACACCGTTTGCGGAAAAAAATCGCATGTTTTATTCGGAGAAAAGCACTTTTTGTGGCTCGTCTAAAATTGTCAAACATTTATTCTCGCCACAAAAAGTATCACTTTTACTCCTAATAAAACAATAACTATTTCCTCGATCGCTCATTTTCATAATACACTGAGAAAATTTTTTCATTGTCATAGCTAATTTTTCTGCTGCCGTAGCCAAAAATTTTGGCTACATAGGGGACAGCCAAAATCTTTACTACCACCGAAAAGATAACTTTACTGGCACCGTTTATTTGCGGTAGCAAAGTGACTTTATAAAGAATTTACTCACAGTTTCTACAAGGTCACTTTGCTGGCATAGAAAAGCTACTTTGCTGTCGTAGGAAAGTAACTATGCTGTCCTAGAAAAGAGGTTATATACCCTCAAAAACATCCTTTTTTGCTATTGAAAAGTAGATTGCTAAGACAGAAAAGATATTTGTTGTTGTTATTAGAAATGCTTCCTGAAATAGGAAAGCGTTTGTCTCAGAACAAAAAATTTCTTGCCAGAATCAGCCAAGTGTTTTATTAGCCATGGGAAGTTATTTGTCTCACCAATAGCAAAAATATTTTGCTGGAAATCTTTGGAAATATGTAGTAGCGCGTCCATCATAACAAAACCAGGAGATAAACAAACTCTATTTAAACCCCTAAACTTTCATTACCTGATCTGAAATAATGTCAATTAATGAAAAGTTTGGCGCTAGAGTTGTTTCTGCTAGTTTTGATGGATGCGCTGGCACCATTTCCAAAAAGATTCCCAGCGACCGACACTCGACTTGACTCGACAGCATCCACGATCCACACCGTACGGCGTTAGCTACTAAACTAAAATGGAAGAAAATGAACACGAAACATATTTTATCGGTTATTTTTGGACCCGAAGAAATCACGGAAATATCCGAACGGTATTTTTAGTTAAGTTATTTGGCTAGGGTAGCAAAAAACATTATTGCAACAATAACAAAAATTACAGGAATTTTTTTTTGCTGCAACAGTAAAGTATCTATCTATCTTAGAAAAGTTCTATTTCGGAGAAGCAGAAATATTTTCATAAAATTTTAATTTTGCTATAACAGCAAAGTTTGGTTTTGGAATAAGAAATATCTTTGCAGTTTCAATAAAGTAGTTTCAGCAAAGTGGTCTTTTCTGTAGAAGCAAAATAACATTGCTACCTCTAAAACATTTTCCACTGTAACAGCTAAAAAAAAAACCAGCAAAGAATTTTCTCCTGGGACTTTTCTCAGTGAAGTCATGATGAGGCTGATACACGACTTGATTATCCATGTTTTATATGGATATCAGATACTTCACCAAAAAAAAAGTTTGGGTGAAGTCTGTAGATACAGATGTCGTGGTATATAGCTATTACTTATTTACTACTATTCTGAATTAATTAAGTAAATTCCTTGGAAGAAACCTACCTACCTTTTTATGGAATTAGGACAAGGGAATAAAAAAAGGATTATTTCAATATCTGAACTAGTGCATCAGAAACTGGAAAATGGAGTTTGTAAATGTTTACTAGCGTTGCATGCAGCGCAGGATGCGAAACCAAAAATGCAATGTTTAAGATCGGCAAAAAAAAAACAGAATACGATGTATTTTCTAGAAATCTTGAAGGATCCTGGTCAATTACAATTTCTCGGGGTTTTTAACTAAAAAAAAATTTTGGCAACACTGTCTCTGTGCAAAGACGCGACGAACGTGGATCGGGTTCAACTTCGACGTGGGATCATAGATAAAACGAGGAAAAAGTCCGCGCTAAAACCCATTTTTTGTCTTAATTTTTTTTCTAGATCGAAATTGAAAAATCTGGCTCCGTTAGGTTCTAGCCTGTATCCCAAAGAACAACTAAGTATTCCAAACTTGAAAATTCTAGCTCAAATAATAATGCCAGAATGGCGTAGAAAAACATAAAAACTCCATAAGCAAATTATATACAGGGTGTCCTCGTTCAACTGGTCAAAACTTCTAGAGTATATAGAGGAACCATGAAGAAGAAATTTCAGATAGGATACCTATGGTCGGAAGTGCGTCGTTTCCAAAATACAGGGTGTTGAAATTTAAACAACCCCCTTTCGTATCATCTGGAGGGCTAATGCTAGGCTGCTCAAATTTTCAGGAATTATTGATATAGGAATGATATTTTAAAATTCGTATAATGTACCGCCATTTTCTACCTGAATGAAGCCAACTTTAGATATTTTTCCCTTTAAAACTCTATTTATTTCTTAGAAAACAACCCAGATATGCTTTTTGAGCTGACTTGTGTCGGGTAATCAGGACACCCTATATAATTTAAAAAATAATAGAAATCTAAACATATTTTCAACGGTTTGATATTTCATTTATTTTGGAACGTCAGTACATAAAACAGGAAAATATTTTCAATTGCTCCAAAATGCACCTAACTTAATATCTTAGATATTTTTAATAGTGATCAAAAAGATCTTATACAAAATTAATCAAATAACTCCTTATTATATTTAAAAAAGAAACAATTAATATGCCAAAAATTATAACGAAAAATAAATTCGTAATCGAACAACATAACTAAACCAACTGAGAAAAATATGCAGTTGATACAATATAAAAAAATAATAATTGCTTTCCTTAAGAAACTATATGGAACAAAATATGTATCTGAAGAACAACTTGAGTAATATTACTGTAATCACAAATTAATAATACAGTATAATGGCATAGCAAAATCTTACACTTATACAATAATATTTGTTTATTGCCTGTATCAAGGCTATACCATTGTCAACTGCACCTTGAATAAGATAATGAGTCTCAACCTATAGGCTAAACATATCAAATTTCAACTGAGAAAAGTCTCATTATAAAAAAAAAAAAACATTCGTATTTCATGGATCCTTAACTAAAAAACAAGTCAAAAATAAAAGAAACCAAAAGTCAAAACTCTCAAATAAACGGCTAACAACACTTAAATCTACATTGAACTGGTCTTTTCCATAGACCGTAAACATTTCCAGACCGTCAAGGTTCCAATAACCAAATTGATTTCCTCCAACCAACCAAGTTTTTCCTCAAGGTTGTCAGCCGATAGGAAATATTTCAAAACCACATTTTCTGTATTCTTAATGAGCAAACAAAGCGATTTTGGTCTTGGACATACACACCTGTCAGCAGCTGATGATTTTTCAGTAGCATTCGCCAAATCAATAGTACCAATCGGTGCGCAGGAGAATTCTTCTGAAGGGTAGTTCCAATATCTCAAAAGAGAACCTTCTAGAACACACCAGCGCCTGTTCCAGGTCGGATGTGATTTGTCTTCTACAAAAAAGATGACAAAAAAATGGATTACAATTTTAAAATGTAACTTACCAAATCCGATTGTTAAAAATCCACTGGTTCTATTATTCAGCTTAACACTTGCATTCAAAGTAGCAGTGAAATATCCTTCCAAAGATGAGGACAATGGGACATGGTGCATTCTGAAATGTGTCTTTTCTAAGTCGGAGCAACGAATAGCACATGAACCCAGTAGTGTAAAAGAGGAAGGCTTTATGCTGGAGATGCTGTCTACTAGCAAATTTTTACGAGAGGATTTGTGAGAGTGTAGGTTAAAGAAGTTCTTTGTTGATGGGCATGGAAGTTTGCGATCCTAAAAAAAATTAGTCATACACAAAAATCACTATTTTTATTAATTTTAATAGATACCTTCTTACGATGTTTACTATCAAGATTCTTATCATGTTTTACTTTCATCGAGTAAATAGCTACAGAAGCTCCAAAATAAGTTGCAAGTTCTGACAAATGGAACTTCTTGTCTGATTTAACGTTTCCATCATCATCAGCTACTAATACTTGACTGGCCAATACTGTTTTCCCACTTGTCACAACAATAACGAAATGTTCATCCAATTTTTTAGTTGGACTTTCTTGTTCTGTTGTTGAATCCGACTTTATGTAAAAAGTCAAGTCGGATATTTCCAGAGTACCAGAGCATGTTTGAGTCGGTTCTTTTTCTTCAAATTCGGCAGCATCTATGGCTGTTTGGATAGCTTCTTTTTGACAAGCTATTGACGAGAACAAATTATTACAATATCAATTTATTTGTTGTTTGGCATTAGGAGCAATTAAACAAAAAGCAAAAGCAGATCAAGAGATATAAACAATAACTTCAGAAGTAAATAAGGTATTACCACATTACAATACTCGTTAGTTTTATTACTTACAGGCAACTAACAAAATCTTTTCAGCTTCAATATATTCTGAACTTGTCATATCCTTAGAATTCTTGCAAAATTCAAGTGCTTTAGAAACTTGCAAAATGGTTCCGTTTTGCACATACAATTCACGCATTAAGTTCTCTGTAGAGCTTGCAAGATCCGGGATAAATGAAGATTGACATCTCTCCCTTCTACAAAAAATTTTTACAAAATATTCTAGGAAACCCAACATCCTTACCTATTATTCCTGATAAATGTCTCATTAGGTTTGTTTTTCTCTACAAATGAACACGCCCTCCTCAAACTTTTCCTTACTGAACTGTAAAAAGTTCCAGCTCTGGATAAAAGAGAAGGCGTATTTAGGGGGTCAACACTTTGAGAATATTGCAGCTTAGAATTCTTAAAGGACACGTCCTAAAAAAAAGATCGATAAAATCGCAACAATATCCTTCAAGGAAGGATAAATTTCTTACCATAGATTGAGACTCATAAGAAATATCCCCCAAAGCATTTTTCAGGAACTTTTTCGGATCAAATTCAGTGGCTGTGGACAAGTTTGCATCAGCTGTAGAATTAAACACTTCATCTGTAGCTGGCTCATCCAAATCTTGGGTGGAATTTAAAAAATCCATATCAGTTTCTGATTTGGGTGGAAAAAATAGTGAAAAGTAACTCTTGCCATCGTAAAGACTATCAGGGGTCCTTAGACTGGTGGCTGAATAATCTGAACTGGCTCCGTCATCGTCAAAACTTTTGGAAGATTCTCTGGATTGTCTTCGGTGGTATATTCTGGTGATGTAATGTTCGATTTTATCTTGGTATTTCTCGTTGACCTGTAAAGAATAGCTTAGAACAAGAACTGCGTCCCTACCCAATAAACACATCTGTGACATTTTGCTTCGAAAGAGGGTATTTTGGACACCGAGCCCTAGGGTTTCGTGTTCGAGATAATCATCGGCTTTGAAGGTTTTCCAAAATTTGAGACAAAGTCTCTCCTTAGAGGCTTAACATCTCGAAAACTATTTGAGATAAATCATTGAATTTTGTTTTATCTTAAAGAGTATTTACTTCTGATTAAAAATATAAGCATGCATTAGAATTTGTATGATATTAATTGAGTTATAAGCGATTTTGTGAGGCAATGTCAAATGATCAATATTATTAATTGCCAAAAATGCAAAACTTTGTTATGGTTTACATAAATGTGATATGAATTTTACATCTACTTGAGCATGACCCTAATGCATTACATTTCGAATACGCCTTATTGTGATTTGAAAAAAACTTAGAAATTAGTGCGTTTACTAGGTAGGTAATCACTAATAATAATGATTGTTAATAAAAATTTGGCATGCATTTACATTTACCAGCTCATGCACGACTTTGGCCGGATCCTCAATCCTCATTTCATTGCTTCGGCTTCTCAATAGATCTTTTTTTCCCATAATTATTCTGGATTGTGTTGGTTTCTCGACATTTAAAACTACTGGGGCACTGTGCACCGAATCTATTGAGCCCTTGCGAGATGATGCCTGGTTAATTGAAAGCAATGTCCCTTTGTTGTTATTATGCTCAAGGCTTTCTGTATTAATATTACTCGGTGCATTTTCTTGTTTTTCTTCATTTGGGGTACTGTGCACCGATTCTATTGAGCCCTTATGGGAATAGTTAATTGAAAGTGATGTCGCTTTGTTGTTATTATATTCAGCGGTTGGTGAATTGATGTTTTCTGTTTTTATTGTTAATATTTCTGCAAATATAGTTCGTTGAAATGGGGATTTTAAGTATAAATTATTGCTTACCGTTATTGTTATGCAAATCTGCATTATTTATGTCCTCGTTTGTACAAGCCAGGATCAGACTTTGTTCGGATTCGGTTGCAGATTTGTTCAGGGACAGTGAGGAACGGCGTGAAGCTATTTCCGACATTCTAACATTTGTAACTGGATATCGAGCAAACAAAAAAATATGGTAAAAAATCAAATTTGATTTAAAAAAGAAATACAAAGAAAATATACAGGGTTATTGGTAATTTGATACATTCCTTTTTAGATGTGATATAAGGGATGGGGTAAGGAGTATTTAGGTAACCATGCTTTATGCAAAACTCAATAGCTTTTGAAATATTTCAATGTTTCTGTTTTTCTCAGAAACGTAGACCTAAGTGCCTTAAAAATTAATCAGAAAAAAATCTACCGTACCTACCTTTTTTCAAACTATTCTTCTAGATTTCTGGCCCAACTACAAGTCTTATATGTTTGTGATAAAATATATCCAGCAGAAACATTTACGTCATAGGAAAATTTTAAATAAAATCTCTCTAACCGATAAGAAATTAGGTATACCATTAAACATAACTTTTCAAGAGATTTTTTAAAAGATTTCCTATGACAGAAAATAGTATTCTCTACAAAATTAGGTACTCTATACATTTTTTTCGTAGGACCAAACGTTTTCGAGATGTAGCGTATAAAGCGGTAGTGCGCATCCAAAATAGTATGTACTGCGGAGCTATAACTATAAATGCATTTTTCCTAATCTGTTAGTCTGGAAATAAAACTTTCAATAGGTAATGAGGAAAACCACCTATTTGAAATATTATTTCTTTTATGCACGAGCGGGCGGTAAGTACTACTTACCGCCCGCGTTTGCGGGCGGTAAGTTGAACTTACCGCCCGCTATTTTCGTGTCATCAAACACTCTCGAATATTGGTGGAGGCCACTAGTTCAATTTAATCCGTGTTGTCAACTATGGAAATAGAAATAAAACAAGAATTATAATTTATTATGCACCTCAACAACTATAGTACATAGGTTTAATATTAATAGAATTTAAATATTATTATTTTTTGTTAACATACAAATTAAATATACAGTTATGTGAATTATCTATCACAACACCTCCTTTTCTTATGTGCTTATCAAGAACAACCGTATTTTCTGTATCATTTATCAGAGAAACAGGATGAGGTTCATCGTTTAGTTGTCTGGATGTTGTTTGGATCGAAGTCTTACCACTTGTTGAAGGAGTTTGGTGTAAAATTTGGTCTGCGAATTTCAATTTGCTCTCTATGGAGTCCTCGATATAACCCTCGGCAACCGTCGAGGATTTCCAACCTCCATGTCTTTTGAGAGCTAATACTTCTACGCCGCTATTTGCAAGAAGCGTCGCAGAAGTTCTGCGAAAAGCATGTCCAGTGTATTGAGAAGGATTTTGCAAATTTAAAAATGTAGCAATTTATGCTGGCCATTTTCCTATGGTATTCTTTCCTACAACTTGATTAGTGCAAAAGCCGTTTCGAATTTTTAAGAATAACTTGTTTGATTTTGCGGTTTTTTGTCGTAGTTCGATATATTTCCTACAAATCTCCAAATAATCCACTCGCTGGTCTTCTTTACCAGTGATGGTGAAACTCCTTTGAATATTGGTTTTTGTATTGGGTATTTTAACAAAAATGAACGTTTCCTGATTATCTATGTCTTGTAAAGTCAAATTACATAATTCCTCCCTTCTGCATGCTCCAGCTACACCAAATATCATGCCTATCTACGAAAAAACAACAAATTAATTCTTTGCATTGTTAAAAACACAGGTAAATTAACTCACTTTCAAAATCAAGTATCTATCATCTGGTGCCTCCATTAGAAACCTGTATAAATCCTCCTTTGTGAAAACTTTAGATTTTTTCGGTGTATGGCCAACGTTTTTTCTTTTCAGAAAGGCAATTAAAGTTGCGTATTTCGAAATGTCAACATTTTCCTTCAGAAAAAGTGTCGCCTTCAGCATGGAATACTCAGCCCATAAGCTTCCAGGTGATTTTAACTTCTGATTTCGGTGTACAAAGTATGCCAAAAGCACTTTCTCCGAAACAGCCCAGTTTTTGTCAACGCACCACTTCTTAAAGATTTCAAAGGTTTTTTCGTACCGTTGCCTTGATTTTTCCGGAATCACAGCGTCACAACCAATATTCCAAGCATTTTCCAGTTCACTATCACTATTTTCACTCATATTTCTCCTTAAATTTCAAAAAAGCGTATTTGCAGCTTGCAACCGTATTGTTTGAAAGCGAGTTTTGCGTAACTAACACAAATAAACAATTTGAGAAGCACCATAACAACCATACCAACCATTAGAAACAAGTAGTCCAGCCAACTATAATAATAATAATAATTGTTATAGATAATGTGCGGTGGTGGATAACCATGGAAATAAGAGTTGTGATTTTTGGAAGCGTTGCAAATACAAAAGTTGCCAATTTTTCATTGGGAACGCGCCTTTATAGGAGGAAGACAATTCTATTTTTGAAAATGTCAATTGGATGCCATTCTATAAATTAAGTTTTTGAACTGGAATAGCCCGATCGTGCATAAAACGTAATAAGTATTTTGGGCGTTAAGTGTCGTTAACCGCCCTCGAATATTGAAGACCTCCGCTACGCGTCGGTATTCAAACAATCTCGGGCGGTAAACGACACTTACCGCCCTTAATACTTAAATAACTATAAATCTTAACTTAAATCTTAAAAAAAAAACGTTTACTGAATAAAAGTAAATATTGCCACCATGGTGGAATTGATGAGAACGAGAGCGCGCTTCAACGGAAAGGTACCGAAGCGTACGAAGGGGAGGTAGAGAGGAAGCGATTAGGCATTAGACTAGAGAACAAGCTGGGCTGGTCCTTTAGACGCGTGTCTAATTATTCATAATTCACTGTCTTTTTGGGCTGAGATTTTGATTTTGTGTATTCAGAACGTGCATTAGGGCCTTGTTGAATTTACTAACAGTTTCCTACCCGGACGAGCGAATATCCTATACCAAACAAAGGAAAGAGATATTGGCTCAAAATAACAACCAAGTAAGTATACATGAGTAGCATCCCGTATGGTATCTCCAGTACCCTCCGGCAGACCGGCTATCTAACAAAAAAACTCTTCAGTATTGATTACAGGTACTGTTGATTGAATGTAGTGTGTGTAATTAAAATTTTAGCACAAGAAAAGGGGCGGTATACCTAGTTTCAACTTTTATTGAATTAATGACTCACAATTATTTATTTATTTATTTATTTATTTATTTATTTATTTATTTATTTATTTATTTATTTATTTATTTATTTATTTATTTATTTATTTATTTATTTATTTATTTATTTATTTATTTATTTATTTATTTATTTATTTATTTATTTATTTATTTATTCAATGAGATATCAACAGCAAATGGGCTCTTTCACTAATTTTTGAAATTGGCATATTTGGATAAAGCAACTAAAAACAGAATTTTCTGTATTTTTACTTTTGAAAAATTCAAAGTCCTTCTTGAGAAAACAGAAAACAAAGAAATACCTCCAAATAAAAACCCAGAATTTATTTCTATGACGTCGCAGCTCGCAATTTGACCGTGTTGCCACTAATTGTCAACATTGAAAATTTGTAATAGATTTAATTCTGAAATGTTGGCAAAATCTCATGAAAAATAGTTAAATTAATTAGTTATAGATTCAAGATTTTATAACATTTTTTTTTTAAATTATGCTTAAATACAATTTAATGCAATTTTTTATGTTTAGTTTTATTTATTTATTTTACGCCGCACTACATTTAGTCACAACCGACAACAGCGCATTCGAACCTTTACGTATCTTTACAGAGCGCAAACACAGCCGAGCCCTTCCTCCTTGCAACGACATAAGCGAAATGAAGAATATTTATGTGACGTCGGCAAATCGGCGCGTTTTAAAATAGTTTGAATTTAGGCACTTTTGATTGCCTATGAAAAACTTATTGAACCTTGTAGAACATTTTTTTTTTGGTATATATGCCTAAAATAGTCCCTGCTTTGAGATTTTATACTTAAATTACGTATTTAAATTTTAGTGAAAGAGCCCATTGCCAATTACAGATACCTGTATGCTTAAAATTAATCTTATAGAAAATATATTAAACAGATAGTATAAATACAAATGTCAAAATACATACTACCTAACAAAAATTGGTTCTAAGAAGAAGACAAATAATTTAAGCTACGTATAGATAAAATCGGATAACATGATAAAATAAAGACATTATAACTATTAAATATAAAATATAAAATATAAAATATAAAATATAAAATATAAAATATAAAATATAAAATATAAAATATAAAATATAAAATATAAAATATAAAATATAAAATATAAAATATAAAATATAAAATATAAAATATAAAATATAAAATATAAAATATAAAATATAAAATATAAAATATATGATGCGGTAAGTACAAACAGGTATACAGACCACAGATTACAGCAAATTTAAAATAGAAAAACTAATAAAATTAACTATTGATAAAATTTATACTACGATCCGGCAACTACCCAAAATTAACTCTGGCGCAATTTTTTGTCAATTAAGTTTTTAAATGTTTTAAAGTTTATCAGGTCTATGTCTATGTCAGATGCATACAAATTAAAAAGATTGCAAAGACCATAAATGGGGGAGCTTTTAAATAGGTTGGTTCGTGGAAAAGCTAGGTAGAAGATATTTGTGGTTCTAGAATTACAACGATTTACAGAAAATGGTAATTTCTCAAGGATATCAGGGCAGTCGATGTCACCCTTCAGAATTTTAAACATAGTACATAAGAAAATCTTCACACGTCTCTCACCCAAAGATAGTCTATTGAAAACTCCTAAGAGGAAGCCATTATCACAACCCCTCTGAGGGTAGACTCCAAACCTTCTGTAATACATAGTCTTTAAAAAATTTCTTTGCACTCCCTCAATAATATTTATCCATACGTTATATTGGGGCGACCATATCAAGCACCCATACTCCAAGATAGGCAACACCAGACTATCAAATAAATGAAGGCTTACATCAACCCTAAAAGTCTTAGTATTGCGTGCTATAAAACCTGCTATCCTCTGTGCGCTCTGTATCTTTGTTCTAATGTGTTCAGAGAATGAAAGACTGCTGTCAAAAATGACTCCCAAGTCCTTCTGCTTACTAACTTTATCAAGTTTTTCGCCACTCATGGTATAATTAAAATCTATTGGTTTCTTATTAAGTGTAAAAGACATACAAGCACACTTGCTTGAAT